ATTTAATAATTTATGTGACTCTAACAAATTAATGTGTGATCATAACCACAACTTTATCTTAATACTTATTTATAAAATATTTGAGACTTATTTAGCTATGCTTAACTAAGATCAAGTAAAATACCCTTTCTTTTAACTTATCTAAACAAATCTAGATTAAGTGAGTGAAAGATCAAATGAATAAATAAATATTAATTTAAGTAAGGGGTTAAATAATTCTTATCAAAATTTAAATCGAGATTTTAGGTACTACAGTGGTCGATTGACCCTTGGAACATCTCCACTTTTTGTTGGTCACTCATTTTATAGGACAAGGCCACACCCTCGATCCACGTTAGAACTCAATTACAACCCAAGCAAAGCAGAGCCAAAGTCTAAAAATTTAGGATTAAAAAAATAATTTTTAAAGTTTAAGGACCAAACCAGAGGTTTGTATCAAAGTTGAGGGACCAAATTTGGGATTTAACCTGCTTCCTACCACACCGTCAATTATTTAAGGAAATTACTTCGTCATTATTAGGGCGTAACCGTTAACGATTTTAATGCACGACAAGTATTCAGTTTCTCACTTTTTCCTGGTACGGTCAATTCAACGCACAATTAATAGAATGTTCGGATTAAGAGGAACGAAGAGGAGAGAAAGAGAGAGGATAATTTTTTTATTAATTAAATTATGATGTTTAAAAATATTATAATTTTATTAATTAAAAAAATTATTACCTCACTTCTTCCTATCCTAAAAAAAATTATTACCTCACTTCTTCATATCCTAAGTCAAACCTAGTATTCAGTAAAAAAAATTAATTATTTGTATGAGAAGGAGAAAAAGTATAAATAATAATATAAATTTTGTTATTTTTTATTTAAACATGTAAATTTTGTTGATTTTTAAATAAAGTGTTAAATTTTTAGTTTTTTTTGTATTTAAAAATGTCAATTTTTTTTTATTTTAGGATGCTAAATTTGTGTTTTTTTTTAAGATATTAATTTTAAGTTTTTTATTTAAGAATTAATTAGATAATTGAAAAAATTATTTATCACATCAATATTGCTATTCAATTAATGTTTAAATAAAAAAATACAAAATTAATATTTTTAAATTTTCAGAGACACTAGAAAGATGGAGTGTTGAATGGCTTTTTGCTAAGAAAGATATGTAAAAGTCGCTCAACTCAGCCAAAGAAATTGAGGACTATTTTAGCTGCCAATATATATGATTTGGCAAGAAGGGAATATGAGAATATTTCTTAGTAAGTTTTTGGCCGAAAAGGATGTATACAATGAGATAGTTGGTTTTTTAAGATTAAAGTTTTGAAGAGTGTAATTCCTCATACATGTTTGGTAATTGAGTGTATACGCCATTTAATATTTAAGGGAAAAACTCTCTTTTTTCAAAATAAAAAATAAAAAATTTAACACATTATTTAACAATTAATAAAATTTATATTCTTATATATATATATATATTTTTAAGAAGTTATACATAATAAATTCTTAGTAGTAATATAGAAAACAAAAATTTGAAATAAAAATTAAAAATTAAAAATATGATATAAATTACATTATTAAATAAATTACTATATACAATATTACATGTATTAATATAATAAAAAATTAATAATTAAATAATATAAAAATCACCTTTCAATATTTTAAGTAAATTAACTTATTCTATGCCATAAATATCAAAATTTTGGCCCTCATAATTTGGTGCCCTTTTACCATTATTCATAAATTATGCCTAAATCATTTACCTTGTTTTAATTGTTGCGCCGCAGCATATCTCAGTTCCTTCCCTTCTGGTCAAAGTATTCACCCACTCAGCAAATTGCATTTATTAAAAAAAAAAAAATACTCACACAGATTTCCACGTAGATTCCACCCTGTTCTTCCGCTCCTCACGCTCCTCTCTGCTAAAAAACCAACTTTACAGTTCATCTTTAGATCTGCACCAGCCACCATGAAAATATTTCTTAAACTCAGCTCTAATTTCACATTTTTTATTTCCTCTTTTTCTGCTTCTGTTTTTGTCACCAGTGACAACCTTAAGAACTGTATAAAAACTTTATTTTCCTAATTATCAGGGTCCAAAGGAGTGTTCAATGATTGAAAGCAACTGATACCCACTTGGTACTTCTGAGGTTCCCATAATTTCAAGGGTTTTTGAAAAATTTTCACTCTGCTTTTTGACTTCTTGATCCTTTTCCATGAAACCCGTTTCTTAATCTTCATCATTCTTCTTGTTTTGGGTCCTTTACAGCTTCCTTGATCTTGGGTCTATCTAGCTTTCTTCATTTTTCTTCCTAATTTTATATAAAGTGAGTTCTTTTACAAACTAATCAGAGACATCCCAGTTTTAGACATCTTCTATTGTTGGCTTAAGGTATTGAAAAATCCAAGCTGTTTCTCTCTGTGTGGATTATGTACTCCGTACTTTCTTACCCATTTATGGGGTTTTCTTGAATAGAAGGCAACGTTTTCATTCCCTTTATGATCACCTCTAATTCTCTCTGGCTATTATTGTCTTGGGAACAAAGTGTTTTTATACCACATTGGTTTTTCCTCAAACGGGTTTGCTGCGTTAACTTAGATTGATTTTAGTAGGGGAATGTTGAATATGATTTCCACTGAGACAGAGCAGATCCCATTACCTTCAGAAAATGCTGAAGGGTCTCTGAAATCATGTTCAATGGGATCTAGCACTGATTCCTTCACTGGGTTGCCCCCAGTTTCTGAATTGGCTGATTCACCACCGCTTCCAACCATTTTTACTGATGTTAATGTTGTTCCTGAGCAAGAAAAGAGCCAGCTTGAGCAGCTGATATCGAATTTAGAAGGTAATATTTCTGATTACCAGTTCTGTTTCTGAGTATTGGGGTCATTAAAATTTGTCAATATATGTTTATCTACCTTTGTGTTATGTTGAATACATGAATTGGTTTTGGTAGGTGAAATTACACAATTGAGGTCAAAGCAGAGGTCGTTGGATGAGAAAAGAAGAGAAGCATTGAATAAGATATTAGACATAAAAGGCAGTGCAACTTGCTGTTGGCTTATATTGGAAAGAACGAAAGATAAATAGTTGATTTTTTTATTTCTTTGTTTTGTGTCATATTTTAAGAATGGATTGCGATTTGCAGGTTGTATTAGGGTTTTTTGTCGAGTTAGACCCTTCTTACAGAAGGATAGGAGGAGAATGCAGGAGCCAATTTCGACAGAATTGGACAGAATTGTGGTTAGATCAGCTGGAATTAGGAAAGAGTTTGGATTTGACAAGGTGTTTCATCAAGCAGCTAATCAAGGTTAGCATCAAATTTAATGCCCTTTCCCATCTTAGGTAATTTAATTTCTAGATTCTCAGATTTAATAAGAGATGGATCCTGCTTGAAATCATGTAGAAGATGTTTTTGTTGAGGTTGGACCGACTATCAGATCTGCACTTGATGGGCACAATGTATGTATTTTTGCTTATGGTCAAACTGGCACCGGAAAGACATTTACCATGGTGAGTGATTGTGATTTTTGCTTTGGGGTTTTTTTTTCTTGCTTGCATCTTCAATTTTTCACATCAACAGATACACCAGTTTTTCATTGGTAATGATGATGGATTGGAATGATTTTCCAGGACGGTAAAAATGACCAGCCTGGAGTTGTTCCTCGAGCTCTAGAGGAGCTTTTTCATCAAACTTCTTTGGATAATTCATCTTCAATCACTTTCTCAATGAGCATGTTGGAAGTTTACATGGGCAATCTAAAAGATCTACTAGCTGCAAAGCCAGTTAGAGTAAATGAAGCTGTAGCTAGATGGTGATTGTATTTTCTCCCAACACTTCTTAGTTCCAAATTTAGATGTCAAATTGAAAGCCATTTATTGTTTTTCTTACAATGGTATTGCATACTCCTATACAGTAATCTCAACATTCAAACAGATCCAAAGGGATTGGTGGAAATTGAGGGTCTGACAGAAGTGCAAATACCTGATTTTGCAAAAGCCAGATGGTGGTACAACAAAGGCAGAAGGGTCAGGTCAACTTCATCTACTAATGTGAATGAGGCATCTAGCAGGTCACACTGGTGGGTTTCTGGTTGAGTTTGATGTATTGAATTTCCATTTGAGTTATTTTGGTTTCATAATAGCATTATCTATCTAGTTTCGTATATCTAGCTTAATGAGAATCACCATTTCTCGACGTGGGGATGCTTCGGACGCTAGAGCTAAAGTAAGTAAACTTTGGATGGCTGATCTTGGAGGAAGTGAGAGATTATTAAAAAGTGGAGCAACTGGACAAACACTTGATGAGGGAAGGGCCATAAATCTCTCGCTTTCTGCTTTAGGTGATGTTATTGCAGCTTTAAGAAGGAAGAAAGGGCATGTGCCTTACAGGCAAGTTTTTTCTTGTCTTTGATTTTCAGCCTTTCTTTTTCTTTCCTACTTATTTGAAAGCTGGGAATGTCATTGGCTTGCAACCACATTCTGGTTCTGCTTTCTCCCTAATCAGTCTTTGGTTGACTGATAAGCATTTATTTCCTGGGTTGCAGGAATTGCAAGTTAACACAAATTCTCAAAGATTCCCTGGGTAAAGTACCAAACCTTCTTTAGATAGTGAACAGAAATTTTCCTTACTGGATTTTGCAGAGCATTTTAAAGAAGTACATGTAAAATAAAGTTGTGAATTTACACTAAGTTATATGGAATGTGTAATCCTATAAACTGCTGGTGCTTCTCCTATGACTTCCTCTGATACCTCTAGTTTTTTCATACGACTCTCTGTAATTTATGTTATCCATCTACTTTAGGTGATGGTTCCAAGGTTTTGATGCTTGTGCACGTAAGCCCTGGTGAAGAAGATGTTGGGGAGACAATCTGTTCTTTGACCTTTGCAAAGAGGGCCAGAGCTGTGGAATCTACCAGAGAACTAGCAGAGGTATTATCTTCACAATTCTTGAAGCTGTTAGTGCATTCAAGTAGGGTTATTGACTACTTTCTGATGAATATTAGGACTTGAAGAAGCAGAAGGAAAAAAGGATTGCGGAGCTTGAAGAAAACATGAAAGGAACGGAAGAAGAATGCCAGAAGATTAGGAATCAAATCCAAAGGGCTTGTTTCCTATTAAGTGAAAACAAAAAACTTTATGCAACTACTTATGGCCTTCCTGAGGAGGAGGAAAACAATCCCAAAAGCCCTGAAAAAGAAGGCCAAAAGGAAGCCACAGGAACCCCTCGGGTATCAGAGAAACCAACAAAACGAACAGTTTCTAATTCTTTCCCCCGATTCATGACATCCACTGAAGCTAGTCGACAAAGAAATATTGCTGTAGAAAGGGATATCATTGGCAGGACAAGAAGCTTTAGATCAGTGTGTAGAAATTCTGTACAGTTCTCTTATTCCCAGTCCCTTAACTTCTCTGATCCTCATTTTAGAGCACTCGTACAAGGCTCAAACAAAAAAACTGGCAATGGAGAGACAAATGCTTCTGGGACAATCTCTCCAAAATGCAATGGCTTAGATATTAAGAGGACCTCACTGCCTCAAAGCAAGATGATCCATTCTTCCAATCCTAACTTAAGAGTTACACTTAACCGTCACAGGAGGAGGATGTCTGATCTAATCTAACAAGAAAAAAGATATATTTTGTAACCTTTTGTGTATGTAAAATGTGTGGGATGTAATCTTGTTTTCACTGAATTTTCTTTTTCTCAGTATTTTTCTTGTTTTGATCTTCAGGCTGTCCGGGGATCTGTTAACTTATATTTGTTGTTTACAAGATCCCATTATCATATGGTTGGTCTAGGGTTTGATGTGTTCATTAACTTGAACATTGACATTGTAACTCACTTGATGTTTATTATATATGAAAGGTCTGAATTACAAGTTTGATTTACATGAGTGTTAGGATCCTAATTGCATGTTCGGGACTTTGCTTTCCTCATTGAAAGTATGAGACTTGATAATTTTTTCGTTTGGATTGACAGGGTATTTGTGCACTAAGACTAATTTATTTTCAAGTAATTTTAAGGGTATATATCTTTTATTTTAAATATTTTAATTATAAAATCGATTCAAACCGTTATCTTTAAAGTGAAGATATGAAACTTATAAGTTGGCTAAAATCACGTAACTCACGGTCAAGTTTAGGGGTATATATCTTTTTAAGATTGTACGTTTAAAAAATTTAATTTTTTTGTCCCGCACTTGGTGACCTAATGATCACTCCTGCAAGGGACGTGCGTAGGATTAATAGAGTTTGGGATCAAATCCCAAACCCCATTCCCCCTTCACAAAAAAAGATTTCACACTGTTTAAAAAAAAATTAATTTTTTTAGTACCGGTTGGAGACTTGAATTTGGATTTGACACTTAAATTCGACCCTCGTGTTAGTACGAGACTTGATATTTATTGATATTCATCTAACTCTTCCAATCTCAACAGTTGGGTAGTGGGTCTGGTTCTAGTTCATGTCAGGTTGTACTGTGTCTTTGCTGGTAAGTTTTCCATCGTTGCTTTTTCGCTTGCAGTGATCATAAATGCATCATCACACCCACCGACACCAGTGGGCTTATTCACCCATGTGCAGAACAGAAAAAGCAGCCCCACAATGTACAGACTCATATGGTCTGAAACTCTGAATGAGCAATGAGTTAGGGTCAAATTGTAGTTGATGAATGGAGTCTTGTAGTCTAATGGTTTATGATTCAAGCTTAAAAATGGAGGATCACAGTTTGAGTTGGCACTAAAACAAAATGTAAATGAAAAGTTTACATCCAATTACGTGTCAATGAATATATAGAAAAAAAAAAAAAAGTCAGATGTGAATTGATACAACCGATATAATATGGTATAAGGAGGTTAATGAAAATTTTTAATCCCCATTTGGTGTATCTAAAGTTTTTGGTAGGAGTTCTGTTCAAGAAAATCTACTATAAATGTTTGGTTGAAGAGTGACAACATTTTTCTAGAAGCACTTTTGAAGTGGAAAAAGCCATTTCACAAATCTTTTTTCGGTACAATATTTTCTAATTTAATGTAATGCTACAATAGTGAAAAAAGACTTTTTTTTTTTTATTAAAGGGATTATTTTTTTATTGTTTACCTTTTTTCTTTTTTTACCCTTTTTTTTTTTCATTTTCCATATTTATATACCTCCACTTATGTTATTTTGCTTTCAAGTTTTATTAATGATTATACCTTTTTTTAAAGTTAGATTAACTGTATAAATTACATTATTGAAAGGGGTAAACCCCTTATTATTAGGTCATTATATGTTTAATAATTTTTGTTTTATAATAATATAATTTAAATTATAAAACAAAAATCTCATATAAATAATAATAATTATTATTTTTTTGAACAGTGGGAAACTTTTTGTTTTTTTTTTCCGGGGAAGGGGAAGAGACTTGGTATTTGATCCCAGGTCTCATTAGTCCTACGCACGTCCGCAAGGGGTGGCCAATAAGCCACCATGTGCGGGACCATATAAATAATTATTTAATAATATAAAAATCTAAACTTTAAATTATGATATCAAATTAAGACTTTTAAATTAGTGAATTCCAAACCAACTAAACATTGTAACTTAGCTACAATGATTTACAAGAAGTAGTGCGTCTTGGTTTATTAGAGAATAAGAAAATTTCAAACAAGAACCTATCGGCCTGCCAAATGAAGAAGTGCATGGCATTCCTCACTCTCTCTTTCCAAGTTCTCACTTAAACCCAAAATATGTTAGATGCATTAATTAAAAGAAAGCAAGAATCAGGGTCTAGACTCAACAAGAAATGTGGCTATGGCTAAAAAAGTTTGACTAATCCAAGATTGGTAAAATGATCCATCAGCAAGCACACCAACAAGATTGGGGTGTGCAAGAAACTAGAACATCCGGATATCCTTGGGGGGTTTAAATTTATGAGGATGGGTTTCTGGAGTTGTAGTTTCATCTTCCTTCCACATTTTAATTGTCTTGTCTGCTTCACAGGTGACCAATCTTGTACCAGTTATGTGGTAGGACAGTGCATAGATACTGGCTTCACTATATGAGCCTGTAACCAGTGGATGTGGATTAAAAAAAATATTCCCATTCTACAATTGTGTCAAGTAAGGGACAAAGGATAAAGAAAGAAACCCACAAGACCCATACCAGGCTGTACAATGGTTTGAGCTTGCTGGAAATTGTGGCTGCTCTTCCAATCCCATAACCACAAACTTCCATTGTCACCTGCAATGATGTGCAGAGAAATAAATTAAAGGAATGCTTTGCATACTTATGGGGCAAGATCGAACAAAAAAAAAAAAAAAACTCAATTTCAAGCTTGAATGCAACAGTTCCATATCTCCAGTTGCCATTACACCATCCTCATTGATAGCCATCGAATTGATTAGAGTTTTCTGCTGTGAGCTGTTCCATAGGCAAGAACAAACTTCATTAGCAGTTCGGTTTATCATGGTTGATGGTCAACAGTATCATACTAAATAACATTGGACAGGATATTAAATTGGTTAACTGCTTTGATGAGTTGGTACCATAATATGGAGTATGGACGTGTGACACGTGTCATCATAACCAAACACATAATTTCCCACCATATTTAACAGATATATAGATGAAGTAAAACCCATTTTATTGTACTATATTAGCAGACTAATTTCAACTGCTAAGCAAAAAGTTTCATCACATTCAAAATATGTTGAAATGCTAAAGACTCCTTACACCCATCTCTTAATACGGATATGTTTTTTTTGCCAAATGTCCACACAACTAGGGGATTCCCAAGTGGATGTTCTCTATACAATGGAAGGTATTTCAAGGAAATATCCCATGTACTCATCAGCAAGAAAAACTAAATGCCTTGAAGGAAATTATTATTCCTATAACCCTGCAGGAATGGAGCCTAAAAGGCTAAAACCAACATCCTATCAACATACTTCACACCTCATGATTGACAATTCTACCATTGTTAAGAACAATCAGAAGCTATTAACTCTCTTAAACTTAAATGCTATTCAAAAATGGGAGAAATTCTATAAATGCCTACCCACAAATAAGAAGACAAAAACATAAATAAAAACAACCACCAGCTCAATCATTGTCTTCCACAATCTGTGACAAGATTGCTTATTAAGAAAACAAAATCTCATAATCTTAAAGGATAAGCAAATTGTATGTATAGAATTCCAGCAATGAAGCAATAGCACATTATGCTTACAGTATATTGTGTAAAAATTCACTGTTTGGGAGGCCAAATTTTTTTATGTTGTCAGCTGAAGCAGATGCAAAACAATGCCTGGTGTACAGAAAGTGGGAAAAAAGTGTAAAAATTATAGGATCATAGGAAATAATATGACTTGTAGGGGCACATACTCTTTAGGATGCTGTGCCATAGCTCGTACAGACTTCTTATGGTGGGTCAAAGTTAGCATTGTTGTTTTCCCTGCACATAGAAATAGCAGAAATGTCATTGATACAAATGGAAGAAAGGTTACAGGAAAGATGTTTTAATAGAAACATAGATTACCATATCTAAGGTCCCAAAATTTAACGGTTGAATTGTGAGAGCCAGTAACAACTTGTGGATCCTGGTCAAACAGAAGCAAAGTTCACTGCAAAAACCAATCTGAATGCCCCAAAGGAAGTGCAACAAAAATAAATATTCTCAAAATGCTACAGTTATCTCTTAAATATTGGGCTTGTGGATTGAAGATGGGTGTTTTACATTGGTTGTGCTAGACTGCTAGGCACTACCAGGTTCATTGTAAAATCAGTATTCCAACAACTGGCCATGTGTCATTCCTGTAGGAATTAAACAAAAAAGGGCTCTTTATTCTCTCTTTGGAATTTTTTTTGGGGCAGAAATTTGTTTTTTGTTATATCCCATGGCCCATAAGAAAATAAGAAGCAAAACAGAAGACTCTACATACCATTCGTTGAGTAAAAACTGAGCAGACAGTATTATCATGCCCAGTTAATGCAAAGATTTGCATCTTGGTACGAACATCCCATACCTAAAAATTGTCATCACATCAAACAAAGAAATCACTTTCTGATTCTAAAATTAGCAGAAACGGAAAAGGCATGAATGGTATCTATAGTACTGATAAATGTCATACTTGGCAGAAAGAATCACGTCCCCCATTGAGCAAAATGTCAATTGTGGGATGAAGAGCTAAGCAATAAACACCACTTAGATGACCGTGATAAGACCTGATAACCTAAAAGGCAAAAGGTCAGTTTCAAGAAACAGAGTTACTTAGAAATAAGAAAGTTAAAATAGTAGGTTTGAGAAGTACTCACTTTGTTCTGTTCAAGGTCCCAGCATTTAACTTGCTTGTCATCACCAGCAGAGAACATATATGTGTGTTTGCTACTGACAGCAAGGCCAGCATAAAAGTTACAAATTTCTCACTATTTTTAATCCATGATTGACAATATTCCTCAGCATCTGATTAGTCAAACATCAAAAAATGACATCATTAGTTACTCTCCAAAACTAGCCTCGAATTTGTTCAATGTGTCCAATTAGCGTGAGCTTAAGCCTTCCACTCGCCACATCCCATATCTGTGTAATTTAGGCAGCAAAAATGATTATTTCAACAACTAGTGGCTAAATTATCTATCTAAAAAGGTTCTAATTTCCAGGGCTCAAAAAGATACTGTTGATACCCTTGCATGCAAAGGGAGTCTAATTATATTTATAGATTCATACCTTAATAGTACAATCTGCAGACCCTGTACAAAACCAAGAATTACTT